GTGTGTGTGTGTGTGTGTGTGTGTGTGTGTGTGTGTGTGTGTGTGTGTAATAATCTATAACAGGGGTAACGTATATGTCAGAGTCACACCACAGATTTGAGCTGTGTTTGGAACAGATGGCTTGGACTTAGTTGAGACAGAACAACAGCGAGAGGAGAGGCTGCTCAGTATTACTGCTCCACTGACTCTGTTTGTGTAATAATACAGTATTAACCCAGTAGCGTGGATGTTCTTCTAAATCCACACAGAGTGGAACATTTTTTTCGAGTGGATCTGGTGTCGTTGAGGGCTCACTGATGCTCTGAGCTGACGGGTTTCTTTGTGAGCGAATCATTCAAAAGTCTCATACACAGAAAAGATGTGACGCTTTGGTTCATCACTTTCATGTGCTGCTTGTGTGTGGAGGGAGTGTTGATGTGAAGCCACAGGGGGGGTCTCTGGAGTCTTTGATGTGTGTAGGGGATTGTGTGTTCACGGTGGATTTCCACGACACATTAAAGAAGAGGAAATGCACCTGACGCCTCTTCAGAGGATCCCATCCTGAAAGAGCGCACACTGTTGCTATTTCTATAAATGATGTTGTCCAAAATAAAAAGGCCTTGAATGAATGCATACTGTCTAGTTTTCATAAATTATGGTTATCTTTTGACAGTATTAGAATTGAGGATGACTCTCAGCTACTACCACATCAAATTTTAGCTCAGTATCTGGGAGGTCCAGTGGAGCTCGGTGGTCTGGTTTGAGCCCAGGTTGCACCAGGAAGAGCCTTATCGACATAAAAAACAATCACTAAATCTCTGCTGCAGGTTTGCTCACTGTGGCAGCGCCCCTCTGAGGGGAGCAGCCGAAAGAAAGACAACTGCAAGAATTTTTTGTTAACTCTGACACACAACTTGAATTGGTCAATCGGTGTTAATTTTCATTAAAATCTGTCATGAGATGCTTTGCTAACATGTGCAACAACAGTATGGCCTCAAGGCAATAACAAACAAAAGACATTAAAATGCAAAGACTCAACACGTGGCTGAAACTAACATTTAGAGGTTTTGCTGCTTTTGAGCTTCACTTTGTTTCAAATTTTACAAAAATTAAATAAAATAAAAGTTGTCAGGACTTTACTCTAAAAAGTGCTTCCTGTATGTTCAGAACAACAAAAAGACTTTGGATCAGTTCGTTTGGTTTGTGATTGAAAAGATTGAAAAAAAAGGGAAAAATGCAAATTATTTAAAAAAATCTGAGTGTCTAAACAGGGTTATTAGAAGAGTGTTTGATGAATATTGATCTCTAGCAGACATTTGCAGTGCTAACAACGTATACACAAATAAACCTTTAAATATTGTTACATATCCTTCAAATGTTAAACACAAGTCAGGTTTTATGGCTAAAATAAAATAAGCTTT